AAGGCATTTTGCTTGATTTTTCAGAGGGCCAAAGGATGATAGCATCTGCTTATTATGGGAGTGTTTTGAGAAAGGTAGCCAAAACTTTAGCAGAAAAATGCCCAGGAAAGCTTCACCAGAGAATCTTTCTCCACCATGACAATGCTCCTCCTTGTTCCTCTCATCAAACAAGGGCAATTTTGTGAGAGGTTCAGTGGGAAATCATTAGACATTACCTAACAGTCCTGATTTGGCTCCTTCTGACTTCTTTTTGTTTCCTAAACTTAAAAATCTATAAATGGCACCCATTTTCTTCAGTTAATAATCAAAAAAAAAGACTGCATTGACACACCTAAGTTCCTAGGACCCTCAGCTCTTTAGGGATGGACTAAATTGCTGGTATCATCACTTACAAAAGTGTCTTGAACTCTATAAAGTTTATGTTGAGAAATAAAGTTTATATTTTTATTTTTGTCTTTTAACTGCATTTTCCACAAACTTTTTGAAGTCCCCTCATGCTATAATTACATATATAATCTCAAAATATAAAGTTTAATTTAAAAATGATACGGTGGCTGGGCGTGGTGGCTCACGCCTATAATTCTAGCACTCTGGGAGGCCAAAGTGGGAGGATCTCTTGAGCTCAGGAATTCAAGACCATCCTGAGCCCTGAGCAAGTGTGAGATCCCATTTCTACTAAAAATAGAAAAAATTAGCCGGGCACGGTGGCAGGTGCCTGTAGTCCCAGCTACTCGGGAGGCTGACCCCAGGAGCTTGAAGTTGCTATGAGCTAGGCTGACACCATGGCACTCTAGCCCAGGTGACAGAGTAAGACCCTGTCTTAAAAATAAATAAATAAATAAAATAAAATAAATAAAAACAAAAATGATATGGATGAAAGTTTATAATAAAATGGGGAAAACTTATATCATTAAGTGAACGAAGCAGAATAGAAAACTGTAATTAAAGAAAACAGAAAGTAAAAGAATAATTACTTGTCTTGAGAGATTAGAAAAAAACAGGTAGAGGGAATCATTAAAGATAAAAGCTGAAAATTAAGTAGAAAAAAACAAATGAAATAAGGTAGAAAGGATAAATAAATCCAAAATATGGTTCTACAAAGTGACCGAAAATAAAGTGCTTGCTAACCTGATTTAAATATAGAATAGACAGCAGAAAAACAGACAGGATTAATTCTAAGAAAGACATGACTACAGATCAGGAGACATTTTTTAAATTATAAAATAAGAGGATACTACATGCTCAACTAAACTGATGGCAACAAATTTGAAAACTTAGACGTAGATAATTTCCCAACAAAATACAAATGACCAAAATAGACCCAAAAAGATTTGAATAGAACACATTGGAAAGGTCTACCCACTGAAAAAGGCACCAAGACCAGATGGCTTCATAGATGAGTTTTATCTGACCTTTAAAGGACACATAATTTCTCAGGGTAATTAAAGTATTCCAGGCCAGAGAAGAAGAACCAGTACATTTTACATGGGCACCATAACCTTAATCCTTAATACTGATGGAAAGAATACAAAAAAAAAATGACTCCGATCTCACTTATGAATACTGAAGCAAGGTTCTAAATAAAATATAGACAAATAGCATCCAGCAATGTATCAATATAATAATACACTATGATCAGCAGGGCTCATTTCAGTATTTTAAAAGTGGTTCAAAACCTGAAAATCTATCATTGTAATAATTAATTGTATCAAAAACTTAAGTGAAAAAAACCCACATGATCAATAAATGTCAAAAAAGCATGTGATAAAATACAGCAACCATTCCCCCTTTAAAAAAATCTCTAAGTAAATGTGAAAGCTATTTAAATATAAGAGACTATTTAGCAAATACCAACAGTAAATATGGAAGAATACAGAAAACATTTCAATTTAAAATCAGTTTTAAGCAGAGCAGCCCACCATCACCATTTTATTTAACTCTGTTTGAGCTTCTAGCAAATGTAACAAAAAATGAAGTAACTGGTACAGCCATCAGAAAGAGACAAAACTGAAATAAAATTTACCAGAATTAACAAGAGAATTTGATTAACATAGCCAGAGAGAAGGTAAATATTTTTAAATCAATAACCTTTTACTATTCTAGCAAGAAGCACTTAGGAATGGAAAGAGGAAAAATATTGCACTCACAACAGGGGAAAAAAGCTGTAAGTTCTTGAGGAATAAATGTATCAAGAAAGGCATAGGGCAGATATGAAGAAAAAAATAAATCTAATCAAAAGACATAAAACAAGATCTCAACAGGTAGAAAGAAATACCATTTCTTAGATAAAAGAAGCCATATAATTTAAAACTGAAATATAAACTTAAATGCAATTCTAATTAGAATTCCAATAGGGGTTGGGAGAAGAGGGTGAGTAAAAGTGGTCTTAAAATTTCTATGTAGGAAAAAGTGCCAAAGAATAGTCAAGAAAAATATTTTTAAAAGGTAATGTAATTAATAAGATTTGCGGACATGAAAAGACACACAGATGAAACAGAATAGAGAATCTATAAGTAGATCCTAATATGTCAAACATTTAATAGCCAAAAAGATGGTAGTTCTGGTCACAGGGAAAAATAGGGAGTATTTAATATATTACTCTAGTACAAACGGTTACCCATCTTTAAGAACCAATCTCAACCAAGACTGGAAATCCAGAAGCTATACAAGAAAAGAGTCATATTTGCATATAAAAAGTATAAAAAAGTATATGGAAATATATACCATCAGCAAAATAAATACATATAGATTTGGGAAAGATATCAGTAATGATGGCAGACAAAGGGCTGATATCTAAGATATACCAAGAAGTATTACAAATGAAGACAAATACAAACAGCTCATAGGAAAATGGGGAGATGATATGAATAGACAATTCAAAGAAGAACAAATTTAATTGAACAAAAAAATGAGATAATACTGGAATTCACTAGTAGCCAAGGAATTATATCTAGATTGTCAAAATTATAAAAGAACCATAACATCTGTTGCTGATAGGGATATGAAGAAAAGAATAATCTCATATATTACATACAAAAGCAAAAAGTGAAGTATAACAGCCTGTCTTTGTAAATCAATAAGATAACACCTCCTAACATAAATATATTTTATCTATAAATATTCATATATATCTATAAACCTGTATCTACATCCATCTATCTATTTATCTATCTAAATGAAAAGCAACAATTATAAAGGCATATGCACAATGATGTTTATTTCAGCACTGGTTATAGTGGCAGAAATCTGGAAAGAAAGTAAATGTTTATTAATAGAGGAATGGCTGAATAAACTGTTGTGAATCTGTGAAATATTTTGCAGCCTGGTAAAAGAATGAAATTATATCAATACACTTTGATAGATTTATAAGATACTGTTGAGTGAAAAACCAAGAAGTATATATAAGATCCTATTTTTGTAAAACAAACAACGAACAAAGCGTTACAAAACCCACGTGTATGTGTGCATGTGTATGTGTGTGTGTGTGTCTGTCTGTCTGTGAGTGACTGACAGAGAACGGGAGAGAGAGAGAGAGAACCTATGTGCATGGAGAAAAATACAGAAAGGTACATACTGCTTTGGTAATATGCAAGATACAAGAATGGTGTGAAAAGGCAGAGAGAGCTAGGAAGCAAACAAAAAACAGGAAAAGAAAAAAAGGACCACTGTAAAAAAATAAATCCATTGATCATATTTATACATGTATATAAATATATAAATAATAAATTAAATTTAGAAAAGATGCAATAAACACCTCAATATACAATATGATCTCTGCTTATTAAAAAAGGAAAGCAATAACCAAAGTTATCTCTTGGTGGTAGCATTAAGGGTGATGTTTATTTTCTTCTTTATGTGTCTTCTGTATTTTCTGTAATGAGAATTGTAGATTTTATTTCATTTAAAAATGAAATAAAACCAATAAATGTTACTTTAAAAACATTACATTGAGTAATTGAGCTCATTTTGGAAAATCAAGGGAGGGAAACAGGGTTAAACACCCCTTTCCCTTAGGAGCTGTCCAAGTAAAGAAATATATGAAATCAGGATCCATTACCCCTCATCTAGCAGAAAGTTACTCACCTAAGGCAAGAGACTAAGTGGCTATTTCAAGGGGCTATTTGAAACAGCAAATGGGGTCCTTTTCCCCCTACGTAACACTTCAATGACTTAAGTAAATCAGAAAGCCATTTACACCACTCTCAATTATCCAAGAATCTGCTAGGCTCTTTACTTCCTGTTCCCTCCCTCTGGCTTGCGGCCATTTCACTGCTCAGGAACAGCTCCAAAACAGGGGTCAAGGAAGAGGAAAAGAGATGAAATTAATTCAGTGGATTTAGCTTCTCATTAGCAACTCTAATAAAAGGTTTGATAAGTGAGATGGTCACAATTCACAGTTAAAATGAGGGTTCCGGGACTCTTGATAATTTCATTTAAGTAAACTTGCCTTTAGAGAAACACGGTTTGCCTGCAATATACTTTAATGGATTTGATGTTTGCTATTTTTATGAAAGTCAGGACTTGTAATAAGGTGATATTTTTTCTCTCCTCACTTTAATTTGTACTTTAAGAAAAAAAACCCATCAAAACATAAGAATAATACCCTTCAATGTCAAGAATCATATCCTCAGTGGGGCAGTAGGATCACAAAACCAAGATTCTGGAGAGGAGAGAAGCTGTCTGGCCCCTAGCATGCTCTCAAGAGAAACTTTAGCAGGGCAGCAACCTTCCAAAGGAAAATGCCTTGGCCAGACAACCCCCACCACAAGGATTTGCTAAAAAGGATTTGTCAGGGCTTGACGAAAATCACATCTCCACATACAACATTTTCCTTTTTCAGTGGGCCCTCGCAGATTTTTGTTGTCCTTTGGGGAATTTCAGAGACAAAGGGGTGCAAGCCGATGGTGTTCACACCAATGTGCTCATCATCTTTTGTTATCAAACAGACAAAAATAGTCTGAATAGCAAGGGCAATAGAGCCAAAAACAATTTTCTCTTACTTGAAGACGACGGTAGCTCCCCGACATGGAGGGCAGGCCAGGAGAAAGATCTGCAATTGAAAAATTAAGAATAGTTAGCAAGCAAACGAAATGCTGGACACAGTGACACAATGTTATTTTAACAATAACAAACAAAAAATAACCAAAACTCTAACATAAAAAAAGTAATATAAAAATTTTAAAAAGGCAAGCAGGTGGTTTCCCAAAGTACGTGTTTGTGTTTGCACATGCATGCATGTGTGTGTGCACACATGTGTGTGAGAGAGACAGAGAGGGAAGTGACAAGACTCAAATTTCCAATGCTTCAATTTCATTACACAAGTAGTGAGTCTTAGAAGCTTTTAACCCAGGGCAGGTAAAAATAGATTCTGAGCATGGAACACACACACACACACACACACACACACTCACACATGCCATCTGGTTTGCCTTCCATGGGAGAAGAGTTTATCAATACTCAGCATTGCCAAATTTAGCAAATAAAAATACAGGATGCCCAGTTAAACGCAAGTTCCAGATAAACAATGAATAATGTTTTGCTCTAAGTACATCCTAAATATTGCATGGAACATATTTATATAAAACATATCCATTGTTTATCTAGAATTTGCATTTAACTGGACATCCCATATTTTATCTGGCAACCCTATCAAACTGCCACCCCCAGGTTCTAAACCTCCCTTTGATTCAATTCTTTTGTTTCAAGGCATGCCTAAGTGTTTTTACACTTCCATTCTACTCCCAGGTCAAACTAAACAAAAATAGCCTTGTCATTCTAAGAAACACATCAGTACAGTTCCCTGATACTTGGTGTGACGTAGGCCTGGGTTACAACCTTTGAAAACCTGCAGCTGTGGCAGTTTGACCTTCACCCATACAATGGTTCTCAAACATCAAGAAGGACAAAAAAAAAAATAGTCCCCAGAAGAACTTGTTAAACATACATTACTGGGTTCCCCACTAAGAATTCTGATTCTACAAGTAATGGACCCCAGGAATCTACATGTTTAACAAATGCTTCAGGAGATTCGACCACTCCTGACAGCCTGATATGCTGAATTGTTGACCTTGGACAGAATTACTACAGGAGTCAAAGACATTCAGCAAGATTAAGGATTGACAAAAGAGTGAAAGTCATATTTCTAGAGTTCCTTCACCTATAGTGACTTAATGGTATAGTTTAAAATCATTGGCATGGGTCCCTATCTTGTTGAGAGCTCTTATTAATATATATTATCTGCATTATGGGCTTGTTGACTTTGGCATGTGTATGTTCTTTAGCATTTGGATGGTCTTCAGTTCTCTCAGAGTCCACATTTAGAAGAAAAGGGTACTATAAGGAAAATCACTATAAGGAAGGACACCTACTAGAATCCCTGCCAAGAGGAAGAGAAAGAAGAATGGAAAAGAGAAAGGGTCTTAAAAAGAACATGGTCAGGAGTCCATCACCTGCGTGATACCTCACCAAATAGCCCCTCCAAGGAAACATCCACTGAAAACATGCCTTTTCCCCTACGATCAAGTTGATTAAAAGTACAAAGCCAATGATAATTACAGGTCCACAATCCTTTATTGGCAATCCCCAAATCCAAAAAGCTCTACAAACTGAACGTTTGTCTTTTTTCAAAGCTACTGTGATAGCAAAACATGACATGAACTGAGGTAAGGCTATTTATAGATTTTATTTATTCCAGTTATGGTGAATAGTCACGTTTTCCACAAAAATAATAATGTATTTGTGCGGTACTCCTCCAAACCCCACTGGGAGTAGATGTAAAATATTCTACATGCACGGTATTGTCTTTCTAAAATCCAAAAAATTCTGGTTTCTGAAATACATATCACCCTAATGGTTTTGGATAAGGATTGTAGACTTGGAATTTCAATTATCCAAACATTAATTTATCCCCACTCCCACCCCACCCCTCAGGAACAGGCCAAGAAAGAAATAAACAAAGCTGGTATTCTTTACCCCTGACCCAGCAGTAAAGTTACTCACCTTAGGCAAGGGACCAAGGTGGAGGCTGCACATAGTTACCCAGAAGCAGGCCCATCAAAGGCTACACTCAGAAGCTACAGTATAGAGAGAGGAGACAGGGGCCCCAATCACTTTGGAAAGATCCTCAATACTTCTGGAGTCACCAAAGTGTCATGCCAGCAGCCTTCCTGAGCTTCTGGAATACCCAAGACACTTCCAACATGCTAAACAGAGAAGTAAAAATGCAACACTGGGCGCTACAGTTAAATTTTACCTTTCTATACCCACAGCCAAGAGAAGATGAGCAGATTCTTGGGGGCAAATTTCCTTTATAACTCCATTTGGCTGGTTCTTATCTACAACTTCCCTATGCCAGAAGCCCAGGAACCTACTAAAGGGAATAAGCCTCCAGTCCCAATCCAATCGGTTGTTCTGTTATTGCATCAGTCAAGGATCTAACTTCGTTTGAGATAGCTAATCTAGTCTTGACTCTTAAGTGAGTTTTCCAACAGTTACTTTCATGTGGCCAAGTCATTCTAATCAGTACTTTGGCCTTTCTCATCTTGTCTGACTATTCCCATCACCAGGAGAGAGGGTATCTTTTTCAAGCAATCTTTAAATCAGATACATGTACACGTATCAAATCGGCAGATTTGAAAAAGGACCTCAAATTCATCACATTCCATTTCCAATAAACTCACGGCTTCCTTTAGCAACTTCAAAGATTTATGATACTGAATCTCTTTGCTCTGTCATGCTAGCATCACATCCATAATCGCCATCAGCCAATAGAGCCACATGAAAATAACATTTTAATTCAGAGGCCCAAGGGCCCCCAGCCTTGACCTGGAAACAACCCTGCTTTCGTCCTTGGTTGCCTTCTAACCGCCTCCAAATTTGGTAGCATGTGTTTTCAGAGAGAGAAAGCTAAACTATCCCTTCGGCTGCAAACAGAGTGGGAAGAGAGGACACTTGGAAATGCAAACAAGGACAGTGGGAAGATAATTAAGTATCTGAGCATATCCCAGCACCAACCTGGCACTTTGCATTCATGCTGAAATCTGCCCAGCTCAGCACCTGAAGCACAGAGCATGAGCAAGGAGCATACAGAGAAGTGCTGCAGAGCACTTCTACTTTCCCATCGCCTGGGAGACAGGCAGGGCTATCTTATTAAACCCCATTTTAGAGAAGAAACTAAGGGGGAAAGGTTCTGAAAAGCCTTCCGATGAGAACCCAGGTCCCCTAACTGCCAGTTCAGTGCACTTTCCACCACACACCTGACATAAATCAGGCCTCATGGGGGCTTCTTTTCTTTAGACTCTAACGCTACCCCTTAATCACATGGCACACATGGAGTCACGCCAACGGCCCCATACCTGTGCCACCAGTCAGCTCATAAGGTCTACTCTCTACAATGAGATACCTCAAAATACAAATCCAACAGGGCAGCAAATTATGTCTACACAGATGAGTTTCAGAGTCCAGCATTCCCCAAAGACAGGCTTGTTTTAGCTCCAACCTGCCTCATCCCCAGGTCTTTTGGTGGGCACTTGCAATCCTTGAATCCTTACAAAACTGAGGTCTTTTTGACTTTTTTTTCCCCCCGAAAAATCCACAGGTTCCATTCAAAACCACACTCTCAGCTTCCCCAGGAAAAATCCCTGTACCACTCCAAGATTCTCCTACTCCAAAACTTGTAAATTCAGCTAATTCAGCTCTTTCCTCAGCACCCAATATAGGTACCACTTGCTGTTCCAGTTCATCCCTTACCTCTGAACTGCTCTGGCTCCAGGTTCCCACCTTCTCTACCCAACCTCTAAGCCATCACTTGTTCTGCTTCCTATTCCTGTCCCCATAGTTGTATCAGTCCCAAGTTCACTGCCATCATTGTTCATCCTCCCATCCACTTTTGCTCCATCTCAACAATAGATTCAACAAACCCCCATCTCACAGGACCTAAAGAAGACGGATTTTGTTCTCAGGAGGAATTTTTAGTACTATGAGAACTGTAAATGGGAGAAGGGGCAGTCACCACAGACCATCCTAAATGAGGCACTAGCCAGATTAAGCAGTGAAGGGGCATGGGCAAACCAAATGAAAGGGAGGAAGAGAGTAAGAGAGGTGCAGGAGAGTGGTGTTTGGCCTAGCACACTACTTCCCCAGGCCCAGCCCTCCTGGCTCCACCTCCTGTAATGGCATGCAGCTCTCTGGGGATTCCTAAGGCCAAGAACACATAACCATTACCCACCACAGGGAAGATTAACTCACTGGGCTGCTGAAAGCCTGTCTTATGGCTCTATCCACTAATGTTCATACCCTAGGGCTCTCATCAGCTCTCTTAGGAGCACTGCAATAATCTCTTCACTGGTCTCCTACTTCCAGGCACACTTCCAAAGAGGGATCTATCTCAATTGCCCCTCTGATCTACCATTTTAAATCCTTCCATGGCTTGCTACTACCTGCAGAAAAAGCTCAAGGTCCTCAGCATGACAGACAAAGCCTTCTTTCCTCTGCACCCCGCCTATCTCTCCAGCATGACAGCCTCATGCATTATGCCAAACTGTCTCCTAATCATACTTGAGGTCAATCAATACACTCTAGCACCTCATTTTCCAATAGCTTCAATGTATTCAATTATATGGATATGCAAAGATTTACTCAACCAATATCCTCCTGTTACACAACATGTAAGTTATGTCAATATTTTCAGTTCCTTTACTATTTCCTTAGTCCACACTCATAGACTTTCTAGATCTTCAAAGGATTGAATATCCATTTTAAGGCTTTTGATCCACAATACTAGACTGCCCTCCAGAAAAGTTATTTGAATTGATACTCCCTCCAACAACATATGAGAATATGCTTTCTGCTGCAACCTGGCCAACAGGTAATTATCATTTGGTAATTATCATTTGTTTAAAAGGCAAAACACATACACACAATTAATCATTTTGATTTGTACATCTTGGATTACCAGAAATGTTACACTATTTTCTAACAGGTTTATTGGCCAGCTGTATTTCTTCTTTTGAGATGTGAGCATCTGTGCACTATGCCTATGTTTCAACTGGT